CCCTGCCCGCCCCTGTACTAAATGTCCCTTCCGTTGGAAGGAGGGGAGGCAGTGGCATCCCGCCGTCCCCCTTAAAAGTGCCACCCTAGGCAAATACGCCCCTGACTGCAGTATGACTTGGCGACATGGCGAGTCCCATAAGTGTAGTATAAGCTGGTGCGGTGGCGAGCACAAGTATTGTTTGGATTTTCGAGGGAAAAGATAGCCACGTGGAGCCCCCCCAGATGCCCAGACTACATGGGGAGTAGTGGCAAGATAGTTTGGGACTTGGGGCCATCCTTTTCCCATATGGGGTACCACTTATACGTGGACAATTTTTATTCAAGCGTGCCACTATTTAGAAATTTGTACAATCTTGGAACTGGCGAATGTGGCAAAGTGTGACCTAATGTGTACCCACCATTAGAAGTGGGTGGATGCAGGGCGGTATATTCTAATGGTGGGCATACCACACACTTTTTCTGGCAGAGATTTCTTCTCTTTTTTTCATTCAGTCCAGAGGCTGCATACAAAAAAAAAAAAAAGAACAGCATATACATCGGTTTACGAATGCCTCTGTTGACGTAATTCTCGGTTTACGAATGAAAATCAATTGAAAATAATGGCTCGGTTTATTAATTTTTTTACTAATTTTGTTCAGAATACTAATTGTATGTCAGTGCTGATTTTTAAATGCAATTGCCATCTTTTTTTTTTCTTCAGTATAGCTCACAACATTAGCTGTCTGTTTCCTGGAGCTGAATGTTGAGACCAGAAAAGAAAGTGATGAGGGGGTGCTGCGGCTGCACAGAGAAGCACAGGACTTGTAGGAGGAGTTAATCTGTTGAGACAGAGGAGGGACAGAGATAAGCCTCTTCGCAGCTGCATGGTGCAGTTAGAGGATCTGGTGGAGTAGTTCTGTCCTTTTCTCTGCTGCTGACTGCTGTGACAAGGTGTGGGTGGAGATGAGGGGGGTGCTGAAGCTGCAGGAGAGGTGCAAAGGCCACATGAAATAACCTGGAGGGCTGGATTTAGCCCGCATGTAGGTAGGCATCTACAAGGGGCATATTGTGTGCTAGTTTGGCCAGGGTGGGAAGGGGTTAAGCGTTTGGGTGCTGGGTTTCCAGGCTTTTTGAGTCCTTCCTTCACAGTCCATATATAAATAGGGGGAGGCCAGGTCCATACAGAAGACGTCTACGCATGGGACACTAGGCTGTTATACCTACAAAATATCGGAGTTCCCTAGGAATCTACCAGCAATGGACCACTTATGGACTTGCACCTTTACAGGTATGCCTGGGCAGCCACAACATAGTTTTTAGTAAAGTTCTAAAACTGATCCAAAGCCTTGTCTGAAGTTATTTTAAAGGGGTGTATGGTGGTTTCTGGTTTATGAAAACAGGGCCTGAATGGGGTACAGAAGCAAGACCACTACAAAGGGTTTACTCGGCAGAAGGTGTGGAGGAAGAGAGCAGTTGCCACGGGTAACCAATGAGTGGTGGAAAGCGAACAGCAGCCTATCAAGTGTGGTACCTGGCGTGGCAACAGGGCCTCCAGTAGCAAGGGGGACTGAACCCGTGATAGAGACCCCATAGCCTAGATGCATGGTACGGGAGAGCAGAAAAAGTTAAGTGCATGCATGAGGTAGTGCACGGTGGGACCCCATTCTGTCACTGGGAGTGAGGTGACAGAGGTACGCTTGGACAGGTGGAGGGGGCATATGTTCAGCGATGTCCCTACTAAATGCAACAACTCACAGACAAGGTGTGTAATAATATGGGAAAATGTGTTTTACAGAGACTCTGCGGGGTTGATTTTCTAAAACTGGAGAGTGCAAAATCTGGTGTAGAAACCAATCGGCATCAAGGTTTTTCTATTACGGCTTAATCGAACAAGCTGATTAGCTACCACATAAAAATTGTCTATCAAACTTTTTTTTGAAACAGAATAGGAAAAGGTTAGAAACCCTGACAGGTTTTACAGCTAACTGGAGTTCCTGTAGAGATTTTCCCTCAACTTTTTACCAGACAGGAAGTGAGGGAAAATCTGCAAAATGGAAACCGACTACAATAAAATCCTGACAGAGGTTGCAACACTTTCCTATTTAAATAGGAGTTCCAGTCAGTTATAAAAAATTAAAAGTCAGCAGCTACAAATAGAGTGAAAGGGTGAAGAAGGGAGAGGGGAGGGAAAGAGGAAGAGGGAAAGAGGGGGAGGAAAAGAAGGGGGCGAGAGCAAGGGGTTAGAGAGAATGAGCACAGAGGTCACTTCCAGTGGTATATTTGCAGTTGTTACTCCTTCCATGGTCTTCATTCTCTCTTTTTTCTCATTCAGGACTCTTTCACATGTGTGCTTGGAGGCGGTAAAACCATGCGGTTGAGTCTTGGATATACTGCTCCCCTTTAGCTGACAAGGCTATGGTTTACTTCATGGCTGCGTCAGGAATTATACCCTCAGGAATTATGCCCATGCGCATGAATGAAGCCATCCATTGTATACAACTGTCATGTGACCTGCTGTGATTGGTCACAGCAGGTCACATGGTACCGGCAACGGGGGCCGCTACTCAGATCTGTCATCGGCCGTGTCCGAGGTACACGGCCGGTGACAGATCACGCCGCTGCACGGCTCTACAGGCGCGCAAACTGCGCATGCCTTGGAGGACGCCATATGGCGTCCACCCGCAACGCTGAGGGATTTTGCCGGCCGCCAAACGGCCATTGACCGGGTGGCAAAAGCTTAAAAGTCCTTGGTGGGAATTAAACTCTTAGACCAGCCTTTCTCAACCAGGGTTTTTCCAGCAGTTGAGCAATTTCTGCCTTTCATATAAGTAACCGCTGACACCACTGATCTTTTTGGCATCTGTAGGGTAATTTTTCCAACTGACCACAAGTGTAAGAAGCATTGTTCCCATTGACCAACATACCGATGTTTGAGTATTAACCATTCAGCCACCATACTGCCCGTCAGCTAGTCCAAGTTTGCCAAACTAGTAGATTTTACAGTGTAATTGTTTTTTAGTTTTAATTCTTACTTGATTTTTTTGATAGCATATGACCTGTTGCTTTTGGCACTGCTCAAAGTAGAGGTGAAATCATATCCCCATATCCCAGAATACTACCAACTAGCCAAGGCAAATAAAGGATAAGGAGTGGCCTCAGCCTACATTTGTTGAACATGCTGTATTTAAATGTTTTACCTAATTTTGCTGACAATTGCATTCTGACAAATTGTGGTTCAAAGTCTAAGTTATCTCTTGTCAAAACCCTTGAGGAGTCTACTTTTCTAAACAGAGTAATTTGGGTAGTTTCTAGGATCCTGCCACTCCTAAGCCACTGCAAGTACAATTTGTTGCCAACAAACAAAAACAAAGATTCCAGTTTTCAGCTACTGACACCAGAATGCCCTTCCTTGTTTCCAGGCCCTGTCATGTTCACACCATATAACTAAGAAATACTTATGTGATGTGCTCATGTAAAGGAATAAATGTATAAAGTATTTTAAAGCCATCATTGGCTACTTAGTATATGCATAGTAAATGAAAACAAAAACACACACTAAAACTAAAAACTTTAATTTTTTTGCCTTAATTTCAAGCAAATCTAATATAACAAAAACATTAATTACAAATGTTCAAAATATTCACAGTCTAACATTTCTGTTAACATTTTCAGATATAGGGCCTATGTTATGTCATTGTGTGAGAAAAAAAAAAAAGTTTTTTTTTAAAATACAATCTAATATTTACACAATTGTTTCTACATTCTATATTTTTCCCACAATTTGAAAAAAAAAAAAAACAGGCAAATTTGGTATTTTATTGCAGGCAAATTTAAAAATTATTTCAGAAAAAAAACTGTGCCTCATCTTTTAAATTTTTTATGGGGTCGAAATCCCCAGAAAATCACTTTTTTCATAATTTTCACAATTTTACTATCATTAAAAAAAAATTTAAGTACTAACTGTCCCCCCCCCCAAAAATCATCAAGACTGGCTAGGTTGACTGCAAAACAAAGAAGCAATTGTAAGAAAACCTATCACATGTCGTCTGGTTTGCTTGTAAACATCTTGGTCATAAATGAGCAATCGTACATGTACTCTGCTAGTTTATTAACCACAGGTTAAATTTAAACTGTAGTTTTGTATTCATTTTTGTAATCATGCACCTGAAATTTTAAAATATCTTATGAATTTCAAGTTTATTTTTTAATCACAGTTGTATTTATAGAACACTATTCTCAAAGAAACCAACTCTTCTCCAAATATTGCATGTGATCTTTATTCTATCAAAGATGTCATGAAGGGATTAATTTTGTGTGTGTGTGTGTGTGTGTGTGTATATATATATATATTTTTTTTTTATTTATTTATTTATTTTTTTTAATTACATCACATAACATGAAGCATCAAAAACTCAGATCACAAAATTTTCTTGCATTCTTGGTCTGAAAATAAAACCAAAGGATTCTTGTATGATTATATGCTTATCTAGATAACAGTTTTCCTTGCAGACTTGTACACTTTAGTACTTTGGTATAGAGTGCCAATTTAAAATGGCTGTATTCTTCAGACATGAAATATGAACAAATCATATCCCTCTATAGTGCCCGCTTCTCAATCCAGAGCACTAAGTGTAATTTCTGCCAGATCTTTCATTCCTTAGCTATAAGCATGAGTCACTTCTGTTGAGTTTTCCTGACACCAAGAGAAAAATGGTGATGGGGAGGGCACAGCCTGTGATTGACAGCTTCAGCTCTGTTCCAGTGTACTGTGTGAAGGGGGTGTTGTTCCTTACTTTCAATCAGCTCTCAGAGCTATCTTCACTGATGTAACTTCAGCTCCCTGCTCCCTGTTTTTCAGAGCTGAGAAATTGTGTAAATTTTGCACTTTGAATAAATGTAGGGGAAAGACTGCTGTAGATAAATAGGTATGTAGGATGATTTGTTTCATCTCTACACATCACCTAGGGCCAGTCACTTCACTGGGTATATGTAAAGGTTTACAACCACTTTAATGTTGATTTAATAATCTTGGATTTCTTTGGCTATTGAATTTGAAGTTAGCACATTTGTGAAGAGAGGTTTCTTTAACATAGGAATCACGATATTATTCAGTTTATTCTGCTTGCTTCTTTCAGCTTGACACTTAGTGACACAGGGGCTGCACAAATTCTTCTCACTTACAAGATAGAGATTTGCAACACGTTGAATGGCCTCCTGTTGTTCTGCCTCCAGTTGTTCTTTTGTTGGCAATATGGGATTTCTCTTGGTGTTCAGTTTCTTTAATTTTGGCAATTTAAGGATGCTGGGGGGCACTGTAGTAAAATTGTTATCAAAAAGACCTACCTCTTTGAGTTCTTTAAGGGCACCTATTGTATTTGGTAGAACATCAATAGCATTAAGGCCAAGATTAAGTTGCCGAAGATTCTTAAGCTGGCACAGTTCCATCGGGACACCCTTTGCTGTCAGCTTGTTGTTGCTAACATTAAGATGAAGAAGATTTTGAAGCTGTCCTATAGATTCTGGAAGTTTCTCAATCTGATTGCTATGCAGATCCAAGAAACGAAGATTCTGAAAACGCTGTATCCAATTAGGCACCTTCTGTATTATATTTCGACTTAAATCCAGCTCTTCCACATCACAGAGCTTCAACAAGCATTTAGGAATGACTGCAATTCCCATCTTAGACAGATCCAACCTTCGACGACCATCAAATGTAATTCGTATGGAGTTCTTAGCAGCTGTAAGGGTTATTTTTTTACCCTTGGGGGCACTTTTCACTTTTGGCATTGTCCTAAAAACATTAAAAAGGAAACAAAAAAAAAAACACTCAGAAACTATAATTTGAAGTATATGGCAATTCATTAAAATGTAATAAAACTTTGCAATTGTCTTTACAGGTCTACTCGTATTATTTGTAATAGGAGAGGATTTTATGCAGTTAGTACCAAGACTATTAATTTTGAACTTTTCTAGTCATCTGAATTCCTTTCCTGGAAATACATAATTTGCATTTACAGTTGCAAGAAAAAGTATGTGAACCCCTTGGGATTACGTGGAGTTTTTGCATGAATTGGGCATAAAATGTGCTCTGAACGTCATCTAAGTCACAACAATAGAAGAACACTGTCTGCTGAACATAATACTACACAAACATTAGATGTTGCCATGGTTTAATTGCACATAACATGTAAACATTCACAGTGCAGGGAGGAAAAAGTATGTGAACCTTTGGACTTAATAACTGGTTGACCCCTTTGGCAGCAATAACCTCAACCAAACGTTTCCTGTAGTTGCAGATCAGACCTGCACAACGATCTGGAGTCATTTTGGACCACTCCTTTCACAAAACTGTTTCAGTGTAGCAATATTCTTGGGATGTCTGGTGTGAATCGCTCTCTTAAGGTCATGCCACAGCATTTCAATCGGGTTGAGGTCAGGACTCTGACTGGGCCACTCCAGAAGGCGTATTCTGTGCTGTTGCAGCCATTGTTTGTGTTGAATTACTTGTATGCTTTGGGTCATTGTCCTGTTGCCTCACCCATCCTCTGCAGGAGCTTCAGTTGGCGGACAGATGGTCGTACGTTTTCCTGCAAAATGTCTTGATAAACTCTGGAATTCATTTTCCCATCAATGACAACAATCCGTCCAGGCCCTGAGGCAGCAAAGCAGCCCCAAACCATGATGCTCCCTCCGCCATGTTTCACAGTGGGGATGAGGTTTTGATGTTGGTGTGCTGTGCCTTTTTTTTCCACACATAGTGTTGTGTGTTCTTCCCAAACAACTCAATCTTGGTTTCATCTGTCCACAGTATATTTTGCCAGTAGTGCTGTGGAACATCCAGGTGCTCTTTTGCATACTTCAAACGTACTGCAATATTCTTTTTGGACAGCAATGGCTTCCTCCGTGGTGTCCTCCTATGTACTCCATTCTTGTTTAATGTTTTCCTTATTGTAGATGTGTCAACAAAAATGTTAGCATGTGCCAGAGATTTCTGTAGGTCTTTAGCTGACACTCTGGGATTCTTCTTTACCTCATGCAGCATTCTGCGCTGTGCTCTTGCAGTCATTTTTACAGGACGACCACGCCTAGGGAGAGTAGCAACAGTGCTAAACTTTCTCCATTTGTAGACAGTCTGTCTTACCGTGGACACATGAACATCAAGGCTTTTGGAGATACTTTAGTAACCCTTTCCAGCTTCATGCAAGTCAGCAATTCTTGATCGTAGGTCTTCTGATAGCTCTTTTCTGCGAGGCATGGTTCACATCAGACAGTGCTTCTTGAAACCAGTAAACCCAAAACAGGTGTGTGTTTTTTAAGGGCAGGACAGCTGTCAGCAACACATCCAATATCATCACACTGATTGGAGTCAAAGTTGGCTCACTCCTGGCTCCAATTATCTCTGGGAGAAGTCATTAAGCTAGGGCTTCACATACTTTTTTTCCTCCCTGCACTGTGAATGTTTACATGTTATGTGCAATTAAACCATGGCAACATCTAATATTTGTGTAGTATTATGTTCAGCAGACTGTGTTCTTCTATTGTTGTGACTTAGATGCCGTTCAGAGCACATTTTATGCCCAATTCATGCAAAACTCCATGTAATCCCAAGGGGTTCACATACTTTTTCTTGCAACTGTATGTTATGTACAGGGCTTACTACTCCATTAAGTTTCCAATGCTTGCTGCCATTCCGAGGTTCTCATGTCCATAGTGATGTGGGCAGCAACAGTAAAGGCAGGTACATGGACCTTTCAAGACAACTGCTCTGTGTGGGTAAATGTGGGTAAACATAATAGTAATGGAGGTCTCTGTGCACAGTATAAGGACGTCTGAAGAGGAATGCTCTGCCTTCAGCAGGGGAATATATTCCTTCCTGCAATATCAAATTTGACCACTAGATGGAGACTAATTTACTGTTTTGCTGAAACTAGAGACTGTTTAGATAAGAGTTAATAAAAATTACCATAATTCTGAGAGAAAGGAAAGAGATGCCTCTTGGGAGCTCAGACTCCATCTTAGAGACTGGAAGAGAAGGAGGCAGCTATCAGAGCACATTGGACTGGAACTTGTTCATCTCTTTGCATCCCCTCTTTAGGCATTGCTGGTAGCGTTGGACTTTCTGCCATCTATAGCTTAACTATTCATTGTGTTTTCTGTACTGTATGTTCTTACACTGCTTATATGTACTTCTTATTTGTTTCCTGTTTTTGCTTAATAGTTTCACCCCACCCTGCTTTGTTAATAAAGCTTCACAATTACTTTCTGGCTTATTGCAGAGGGTTTAGCTGCATGTTGACTTACACACAGAGAAATATGTAGGGAGGACAGAACAACGAGCCTGCTGGAAACAGCATTATCATGTTAGGGTGTTTGTACATATGTCATCGCTGGTGTTGCATGCAGATCCCATCACTAAGCACATTTACTTAAAGCAGGGTATACATGTACACAGGCCCAGATTAATGTAGGGGCTATTGGAGCTGAAGCCTCTATGGCAGCCAGCATCTCTACCTGCCGGTTGCCTATACAAGCAGCTCAGACAGAAGCCTCTTCCTCAATGTTCCCAATTAGAGAATGCTGAAGTTTTGGTAAAGTTGAAAAAAGCACTCAATAGCTTGTAAAAGAGTGAAATATCCCCTTTCACTGTGAATAGATCTATAAAATTCTGACAATGGCAGCTCATGTTTGGTATGTAAAAAATACCATTGTAAGATGACCCCTATGTGAAGGATGCCAAGCTGTTGCCATTTATGTAGATTTAGATAAGGTATATGGGGAGAGGAATATATTTAGTTGGAAGAGATCTTGAAAGACATTTAGTAAGTGTATGGAGGCATGTATTGTGGCTATAATGGCTGGGTAAAGGGTTTCAGGTAGGATATTACTGTTCAAGGCTGCTTAGAGTAAAATTCTTTGAGCTGTAGTTTCAAGGTCCTCCCTTGAAATGACAGCTCAAAGAATTTTACTCTAAGCAGCCTTGAACAATAATGTCCTACCTGAAACCCTTTTTTGTGCATCAGAATTTCACCAGTACCATGACTGGTCTAAGAGAGCAGAAATATAATAATAGTAAAAAGGTGAAGTGAGGCTTAAGGTATGTTAAGGTATGTTTCTCCAAGATAGTGGAGGGGGCGCATCTTGGTCTTTTCCCTTGCCATATAAACTGGATATGAAGGGATTGGATTTCAATAAAGTATTTTTTGGAGATAACAATTGGAATGGTTCAAAAAAGATACAGCAGTTTATGCAGGATTACCATTTGAAAGGCCACAATTCTACCTGACATGGAGAATTTGAAAGAGCTTAGATTCTTTAATTAATTGGGAAGGGCATCAAAGAATGGTTGGAAATTGGATGAGAAAACTTTTGAGGATGTGGAGGGCAGGTGAATTCCTAAATATTTAAGATAGCTTGAAGTCCATGGAAATTTAAAACATGTTTAAATAAGGGACTGCAGGGAAGGGAATATACAGTATTGAAGCTCAAGAATTGAGATTTACTCTCATTAACTTTATAATAGGAGACACTACCAAATAGAGATAAATGTTGTGCTGCCGTTAGAGAGGTCAAGGGTTTTGTAAGGATCAAGATGACGTCTTCAACAAAAAGTCCTATCCCATTGTGAATATGACCTATACAAATGCTGGAGATAAGGGAAGATGTTTTAACAGAGTGCTCTAGGGGTTCCATAACAAGTGTGAAAATAAGAGACGATAAAGGGCAGTTTTGTGTGGTTCCATCCGTGATAGGGAATTCACAGGATAAGGCTCCAGAAGAGTATACTCTTGCCACAGGTAACAAGTACAGAGACATAATGTCAGACAGAATAGGGCCATGAAAGCCTACTGTTTCTAAAAACCCCCAGCACTTGGTTGAAAGCTTTTTCTGCACTTAAAGTTAGAAAGAGTAGAGATATTGGCCTATAGATAGCTGAAGATGAAGTATCTTTATCTGATTTGGGAATCATGGTGACTACGGTTTGTAACATTTCTTTTAGGAAATGACCTGTAGACAATGCTTCACTGAGACAAGATGGGGGTTTAAAACTGAGGAAAAGTTTTGGTAATATTCATTGAAATAACCATCTATCCCAGGTGCCTTGTGTAGGACCGTATAACTTTTAAATTTTCAATGGTCGTAAAGGGAGTGGATAGACATTCTACCTGGGCTCCAGTAAGGCTGGCAAGTAACAAGTTTTTGAGAAACAATTGTATTCGGTCTGTAGTAGGTTGAGGGGTAGCAGTATCCGAATGTAAGTTATAGAGTGATGCATAGTAATTTCTAAAAGATTTCTGCTATAAGAGTATGATAATAGTCCTTTGAGTTGTCATGAGGGTTTTGGAGGAATTGAATTTTAGTCACAAGTTGATTTAATATGCCTAGCGAGATAGGCTCCAGTCTTGTTACCTAAAGCATGCGAGTTGACCTTAAAAGTAACCTGACGTTCATGTTTGTACAGTAATAGGGTGCATAATTCACAATAAAATGGCAGAAGTAGATACAGATGGTTTCCGTTTGATAATTTCCTCATGTTCACGTTTGGCTTTAATGAATTAGTCAAATTGATGGCTTCAATATACTTTTTAGCGCGAGAGGTTAATTGTATCGATATACCGATTATAAACACCTTATGGGCAGAACATAGGGAAAAAGGGTGAACGTTAGGGGTGTTTAGAGTAAAAAATTCATGGATGGCGTCAAAAATAGAGGATTGGTATTTACAGTCCAAAAGCAAGATCCACTTCCATGGTAACATCTCTACATCTCTCTTACTTAAGCATAATGAA